AGCAACCTCCAACTCCTCAGCTTAAGCGATTCTCTTGCCTCCTCCTCCCAAGTAGCTGGGACTACAGGCACCCGCCACAATGCCCGGCTATTTTGTTGTTTGACAGGCTTGGACTGAATTCGAACCCACCAGCTCAGGTGTATGTGGCTGGCGCCTTAGCCGCTTGAGCCACAGGCACCGCACCAGCTTGGGTTGTTCTTGTCCTTTTTCCTCTCAAGTGCCTGGTAGGATGTAGCTGACACAAGGGGGACTTCCAGAGGACCACAAAGTCTGGGGAGGTTTAATGTGGCAGGTGTGAGGGGAGATACTGGGTGGGTGGAGGGCAAAAGGCCTAGAATTGGGGGAGGGGCCAGGGTCCAGGGTGGTCGTAGGCCCTAGGCACACCTGCTCTCTGACCTAGGGTAATGAGAACCAGTTAAAGCAACACTTCTCTCTTTTTTTTTTTTGGCCCGGGCTGGGTTTGAACCTGCCACCTCTGGCATATGAGCCGGCGCCCTACTCCTTTGAGCCACAGGTGCCGCCCCAGCAACACTTCTCAACTAGGATGATTCTCTGCCCCCAAGGATGGTTATTATCTGGAGACAGTAATTGTCTCTCCTGGAGAAGGGGGCTCTTGGCAACTGGTGGGCAGAGGCCAAGGATGCTCATCCCAGAAGCACAGGACAGGTCCCCACAGCGAAGGCTCAGCCAGCCCCCAGTGACAGTGAAGAAACCCAAGTGAAAGACACCTCAGGGGAGGGAGGAGGAGTTACTGAGGCCATTGGTGACTGCCTAGGCCTTCCCATACAACATGTGCTAAGCATGGTGTGGGGGCTTCCAGAAAGCTTGGGAGGAAAGGAAGTAGACAGTGGATTAGAACCATGGAACTTCTCTGTGATGTTTTGCTGGAGGAGAAAGTGGGCTTGAGAGGTTGCTTTTCAATAAAAGCAGGAAGAAATAACTGCTTTGCAGGTGGGAATGGCCTTCATGAAGCAGGAGACAGCAAGGAACAGCTGGGCTGTGCCCCCAGTGAGTGCAGTTTAGCTGGGGATCAGGTGGTTTGAAGATGTCCCCATGGAGCTATCGCTTGAGTCAGGGTGCAGGGTAGATGTTGGGGGTGGCACCAGCAGTTGGGGTCATCAGCATGGAGATGAGCAGAAAGCAGGACCTGGCTGGGTCTTGGGGACATTGTGTTGACACAGGGCCTCCACCCTCTCTGCTGCCACCTCCTGACTGGTCTCTTCCTGCCTTGCTGCATGGGGAGCCCATTGCTTATGTCCATCTTCTCCCCACAGCGGGATCTGGACTTCACCATTGACCTGGACTTCAAGGGCCAGCTGTGTGAGCTGTCCTGCTCCACTGACTACCGGATGCGCTGAGGCGGCCCTGCTCTCCAGGCGGCCCTGCAGGGCCCAGGGGCTGTGGTGTTCGGTTTCGGGGCTTACTCTTCCTCTCCCTCCCTCCCACAGAAGGGGGTTTAGGGGTCTGGGCTGGGGGGATGGGGTGGGGGGCACATCGTGACTGTGTTTTTCATAACTTATGTTTTTATATGGTTGCATTTATGCCAATAAATCCTCAGCTGGGACCTGGGTCAGTTTCCTGAGGTCAAAGTGGGGTTGAGGTTCCCTTTGTGGTGCTGAGATGCCATTTGAAACATTTGAGAGGACTAGACATGGGCTTGTGCTGGTGGCTGCACTTCTAAGTGCTCCTTTCTCTGGATCTCTCAGTCCCCTCGGTCTCTCTAGGTCCCTCACTCCTTTTCCTTGGTCTCTTGGTGGGGTTTCTGCCATCCACAGTTCTTTCTCAGGATCTTTGTCCTTGTCCAAGTTCCCCTATCCCTCTGGTAGGATTTGTCCCTGAGGCCCTGTACACTTTTGCACCCCTAGGGCAGGGCTCAGCTCTCTGCCTGCCTTGCTGTGCTGGGGGTGGGGGTGGATTCCCAGCATAGCTGGGCCCTCCGGTTTCCCAGAAAACTTGTCTCCCCTCCTCCTCCCAGCACTCACATTGTTCCTCTCCCTGGCTATTTTTTCCTGTCCAGGACCCTCCAAGGCCAGCTGACAATGAGTACTGCCCAGCTGTCTGTATCTGGGGAAACTGAGTCATGGGGATGTCCCCATGATAGCTCCTCCCCCAGAATGGCCTAGAGCTTGGTTTGGGGAGTTGTCCTTTGTGGAGGGTGCCGCTTAGGGCCAGCAAGGCCTACCCACTTCACAGAGGGGAACACAGTGCGCTGCAGGCATGGCTCCCGCTGCTCTCCACTCCCAGCACCTGTCCATTGTGTCCCTGGGCCCCTAGAACACTGCACATGACCATGGTGACCCAGCATACCATTCGTGTCCTTAAACAGCTCTGGCTACATCTCCTTTGGTGCTCTTGGAGCCCTAGGCCAGTGGCACCTCACACCTAAGCCTCTTCCTCTTTGTGCAGGATGGGACGCTTCTAGTGCTCAGTCTCTTCCACACACCCCCAAACTGGTTCTGTCTGCAGTGGTCCCATGTTGCCCAGCCCCTTCTCTGGAAATGGCCTGGCCCCATAGAGGGCAGCTTCCTGACTGGTGAGGGTGAGGTCACAGCTACACTGAGGCCAGTGCTTCCCCACCCCTACCCCTTTTCCTGGAGGTCTACTGCTTCATCATCACCTGAAAGTGTCACTGGACCCACCCCACTTCCAAAAAGGATTGGGTCTCTGGGGCGGTGCTGGTGGTTCAGTGCGCAGGGCGCCCACCCCATACACCTAGGGTGGCAGTTTCAAACCTGGCCCTGCCAAATTGCAACAAAAAATAGCCGGGCATCGTGGCGGGCACCTGTAGTTCCATCTACTTGGGAGGCTGAGGCCAAAGAATCACCTAAGCCCAGGGGTTGGAGGTTGCTGTGAGCTGTGATGCCACAGCGCTCTACCTAGGGCAATAGAGTGAGACTCTTGTCTCTACAAAAAAAAAAAAAAAGATCGGGTCCTTTGAGGCTTCACAGGGGCATTATCAGCACAGTGACTTTCACATCTAGTGAGGGCTCTGAAGCTGCAGTGCAGAAAGGGGGATTCAGGTTCAAATTCTGCCCCTCTGTTGTGTGTGGTCTCAGTTTTTTCTGCCTGGGAAGTGGAGTTGGGCCCAGGTTCCTCACTCTGAAGTGGGGGCAGGGTGGCGCCTGGAGGGAACTTTTTTTTTTTTGAGACAGTCTCACTATGTTGCCCTTGGTAGAGTGCTCTGGCATCACAGCTCACAGCAACCTCAAACTCCTGGGCTTAAACGATTCTCTTGCCTCAGCTTCCCGAGCAGCTGGGACTACAGGGATCCACAACGCCCAGCTATTTTTTTGTTGTACTTGTCATTGTTTGGCAGGCCCAGGCTGGATTCAAACCCTCCAGCTCTGGTGTATGTGGCTGACACCCTAGCCACTGAGCTACAGGCACCAAGCCTGGAGGGAAGTATTCAACTGAGAGTTTCCCTGCCCTTGACCTGCCTGCGGCATAATGACCACCCACATTCTGCTATTGTTCCTTGCTGTCTCTGCCCAAGGGGATTCTGGGAGCAGGTGAAAGGCCAGTGGCAACTGGGACAGTGCTGGAAAGAGACCATAAGGACGGGGGTCCCCTTCTAATCACGGTTTTCCCCATCTGTGCAATGGGCAGTGTGCCCCACTGATCCTGAAGTCCTGCCCCACCACGCCTCCTTCCTCAATTCTGTCTGAGCCTGGCGTTCTACGCTCCTTCCCCAGAGGGCCCTGGCAGCAGGTACCCCAGCACCTCTAGCGTTCTTGTTCCCTGGGCATCAGCTAGACGCACCGCCTGCCAGAGATCATATACTTGCTCTGCTCTGCCTCCACCAAGGAGCCCTTAGAGAAGCCCAGCGGCGTGCCCCAGAAGCCCCCACAGCTATGGGCAGCAGTGCAAGTTGAAAGCCCTGCTCCATCTCCAGGACCACCGCCTGCAGCCAGCGGGACAGTTGAGTGCACAGATCGCTGGGTGACCTCGGCCATGTCTCTTCTTGCCTGGCTTCAGTTTGCCCATCTGTGTATTGGAGTTGCTAGCCCAATTTTCCCCCTTTACTCCACCTTTTGAGATTGTCTTCCTCACCTCCTCCCCAGGCTGTGACAGGGTTGAACCCAGAGGCACACTGCACCCTGCCTGGACAAAATCCTAGCGTCCAGAGCCGAATAAAACAAGAGTTCTACGTTTCAGTCTTTACTTGTCTGTGCCCAGTTCGGCCTCTCAATCAGCGCCTGGCTCTAATATACTCTTCCTCTCCATATCCTCGCTCCTTTTCCATCACGGAAGTCCCTCTCACTGTCTAACTTGCTGCGGTCGCTCTTCCATCGTCCCAACTCAATCCATGTGCCTTCAGTGGATAGTTTTGGTGGGCCGAACCCAAAACATCCCTCCTCCCTCCCCAGCGAGAAAGGGCTGAGATCCGCTCCTTCGCGCGTGACTTTTCGCTGACAAAGAGCGGAGTGGGGAGCTCAAGAACCCAGGGTTCGGAACAGCTGCGCGGAATCGCGAAGGCTAAACCGGAGAGGCTCAGGACAGATAGAGAAGACTGAAGGCTGGGATCGAACGGAGGGAGGGGATTGGACGTTGCCTTTCGAAAGGGGCGGGGATAGAACGCAGAGGGATTGGGAGGGGCGGGGATAAAATGAGGGACCAGAATACTCTGCTAGGCACAGGCGAGACAGAAATCGGGGTTTCTGGGTGTCGGCTATCTGGGAGTAGGTCGGATTCTGAAGGCCTGTCTACCAAACCGCGGACTCTTCACCTCGGCATTGGACATCTGCAAGCGGGAGATTTGGGTCCGGCGCTCAAAATCGGAGGGGCGAGGGTGTACTTTTGTTTGGTCCCAAGGAGCCCACCAGCAGACCCCTGATTCAGCGTGGTAAGTACTGAACCGCAGGTGTCTGAGATCCCTTCTTCGGCTCTTGAATCCCCAATAACCCTTCTCGCGGGGACTAGAGGCCTGTGTCTCGGGTTGGGTGGTCGGGCTTCTCCATCACTTGTCCTCGACGCTCGCCTCCGCTCCCAGCCTCAACATCCTGGCTTCAAGGCATGCGCATTAGGATACCTCCTCCCTCCCATCCCCTTCAGCCTTGGGCTGGGGGAGGGGAGGCTGGGCGACTCTAGAGCAGATTAATTTATAGACAACCCCCCCCCCCACTCTCCATCCCTGCCGTGGCCTGGGAAGCGGAAATGGGGTGGACAACGTCAGTATCTGGCCAGTGTTTATTTTATATGGGTCTAAAACTAACGTTTGCCTCCAGACCCAGCAACTCACCCTGGACTGGTTTCCCTTCCCAACCTCCAATCTTGAGAGTCCTTTACTGGGGGGAGGCCCTGCCCTAGCACTAGGTTTCTGTAGAGCAGGTAAGGGGTTAACTCGAGCTATCACTCCTGCCTCTCTGTGCCTTCACAGAAGTCCCCAATTGATGTCCTTCCTTCGACCAGGACCCTCACAACCCCACACGTGGTTAGGGCAGGGTGAGCTAGGTCTTGTACTCCACTCCTATTCCTGGGTCTGCATAAGGAGAGGGCTGGGGCCCAGATTTCCGTCCTGGGAGAGAAGAGATTTGGGGTCCAGAGCCCTGAGTCTGAGGGAGGAGGAACTGGAGGCCCCATCCCTGATCTGAGGGAGGGGGGGCTGGGAGCTTAGAGAATGAACCTCTGTCCTTCTCCCAGGGCTCTTTCGTGACATGGCTGAAGCGCACCAGGCCGTGGGCTTCCGATCCTCGCTGACCTCGGATGGGGCAGAAGTGGAGCTCAGTGCCCCTGTGTTGCAGGAGATCTACCTCTCTGGCCTGCGTTCATGGAAAAGGCATCTCTCACGTTTTGGGGTGAGGAGGGCAGCTGCCTCAGCTTCTTAAGTACCTGATACTACAGGATCTGGCCACAAAGCCAGACTAATTTTTTCTATTTTTAGTAGAGATGGGCTTTCACTCTTGCTCAGGCTGGTCTAGAACTCCTGAGCTCAAGTGATGCTCCCCCCTCAGCCTCCTAGAATGGTAGGATTACAGGATTGAGCTACAATACCTGGCCCTAAGCATTCATTAGCTTTTGATAATGTTATTCTTCCTCCATTTATTTACCAAATATCTATGGCACATCTGTTAAGGGTCTGGTACTTTTCTGGGCTCTGGGACAAAATAGAGGTGAAGACACACAGAATCCTGTCCTCATGGAGCTCTCCTTTGACTTTGGGGAAAAGATAATAAAGAAGATAAAATATAGAGTATGGTGACACTTAATAGTGTCATCGCATGTAGATAGTAACATTTAGTGAACAATAAATAAAGCAGGTAAAGAGGGATGTGAGGGTGTTGCAGTTAAATATGCGGCATCCAAAAAAGGCCCCCTGAGCTGAGACATTTGAGCAGGCTGGACCACACCCTTGAGGTCATGTTGCTCGTTAAATCTGTTCCACTTTGTAAATAGCCATTAGTCTGAGCCCCCAGAGAGTCCTCTCAGTCCTTGCCCTGGGACTCCCTGGGACCCCTTGGCCCTTAGGCCAATCCAGCAACTAAAATGTTAACATGTGGCCATGCTATTCTTAAACACACAGATACATATAGACACACATATATGTGTACATAGCACATATACATAGATAAGATACAATTAGATACAGAAAAATGCACCGGTTTAAAGTCTATGGTCCTTGCATTTTGACAATATCCATGTAACCAACTCCTCTTCAAGACAGTCACCAAATCATTCTAGAATGTTCCTTCAAACCCTTTTCCCAGCCAGTTTTTTCATCTCCATTGCAAGGCAACCACTGTATTGATTCCTGTCCTTATATACTGAGTCTTCCTGATGTTCCTTTTTTTTTTTTTTTTTTTTTGAGACAGAGTCTCAAGCTGTCGCCCTGGATAGAGTACCATGGCTTCATAACTAACAGCAACCTCCAACTCGGGCTCAAGCAATCCTCTTGCCTCAGTTTTTCTATTTATTTATTTATTTTTTGGTAGAGACATAGTCTCATTTTATCGCCCTCAGTAGAGTACCTTGGCATCACACAGCTCACAGCAACCTCCAACTCCTGGGCTTAGGCGATTCTCTTGCCTCAGCCTCCCAAGTAGCTGGGACTACAGGTGCCCACCACAATACCTGGCTATTTTTTTGTTGCAATTTGGCCGGGGCTGGGCTCCAACCCACCACCCTCGGTATATGGGGCTGGTGCGCCACCCACTTAGCCATAGGTGCCACCCCAGTTTTTCTATATTTAGTAGAGACAGGGTCTCACTTTTGCTCAGGTCTTGAATTCGTGAGCTCAAGCACTCCACCCACCTCAGCCTCCCAGAGTGCTGGGATTATAGGCATGACCCACCATGCCCAGCTGTGAAGTTCCATTTTCATTAAAAAAAAATTTTTTTTAAATAGTCTCACTTAATCACCCTTGGTAGATTGGATGGCATCGTAGTTCACCACAACCTTAAACTCTTGGGCTCAAGTGATCCTTTTGCCTCAGCCTCCCTAGTAGCTGGGACTACAGGCATCCGCCACAATGCCCAGCCATTTTTAGAGATGGGGTCTTGCTTTTGCTCAGACTGGTTTCAAACTCTCAAGCTCAAGCAATCTACCCGCCTTGGCCTCCCAGAGTGCTGGGATTATAGGCATGAGCCAACATGCCCAAGCTTTTTTGATTTTTCTTTTCTTTTTTTTTTTTTTTGAGACAGAATCTTGCTCTGTCACCCTGGGTAGAGTGCTGGGGTGTCATCATAGCTAATAGCAACCTCAAACCTGTGGGCTCACACAATCCTCTTGCCTCAGCCTCCCAAATAGCTGGAACTACAGGCACTCACCACAATGCCCCCAGCTATTTTTAGAGATGGGGTCTAGCTCTTGCTCAGGCTAGTCTTGAACTCCTAAGCTCAAGCCATCCACCTATCTTGGCCTCCCAGAGTGGTAGGATTGCAGGTGTGAGCCGCTGCAACTAGGTTCATTTTCAAATATCGAGTGTCACCCTATGTCACAGTCAAGACCTGAACCACTTTTCTGAGTCAGATGTTCCCTCTGCCTAACAGCCCCCAGTAGACGCTTATACTTATACTCATCTTATCTTCATGCTAGTAATGAGTGAGTTTTCCTTGCTGCAACATAGCTGCCTCTCTCCCCTCCGTGATTACTTGGCACTCTCTCATCCTTCCTCTTCCACTCTAGGACTCCAGAAACTACTCTGTTGCTTGGTCCCAGAGGGTGGCTTGTGCCCTTACCTCCCCAGAACTGCCATTCTGTACGCTCATCTCTAAGTCTCACTTTCTTCATTTCTAAAATGGGACCAACGACAATGCCTGCCTCCAGGGGTGGCTGTAAGCATTAACTGTGTTTAGCAGAGGGCTTGGCTCAGAGAAGAGAGCACTGCAGCTGCACCATTCTTAGGAGGCTGGCTGTGCCACATAGGTGGTGTGTGACTGCCAGCATGTTAATTAACTTCCTGGGCTTTTGTGTCCTCATTTCTGAAATCATATTAGGTAGTATTTAGTGCATCCCAGACTTTATGCTAACTAAGCCCTTTAAATCTATTGCTCATCTGATCCTCACTACAGCCCTCTAAGATACGCCTCTTGCTGCTCCCATTTTATAGCGGAAGCAGCTGAAGCCCAAAGAGGTGCTTTTATTTTCCCAAAGCCACAGAGCTCCTAAGATGCAGAACGAGCAGGAGAGCTAGAATGAGCAGTCTGGAGTCCACAATGCCCATTGTCCTGGGCTATTTTTCTAGAATGTATCTCCAGTACTGACATTCTGGAGCTGTTTTGAATAATCTCCAGTGGATCACTTGGGCCAAGCATGTAGCATAGTGTCAGCAAGTAGTATGTTGTTCAGCAGCAGGAGGTCAGAGAGCCCCTTGGAATGGTTTCCACATGAACATGAAATTCAGATGCAGCAAACCCCAGCGTATGGTGTCTTGAAATACAGACTGTTATAGCAGTGGTTCTCAACCTTCCTAATGCCATGACCCTTTAATATAATTCCTCCTGTTGTGGTGACCCCCAACCATAAAATTATTTCGTTGCTACTTCATAATTGTAATTTTGCTACTGTTATGAATCATAATGTAAATATCTGATATGCAGGATTGTCTTCGGAGACCCCTGTGAAAAGGTTGTTCGACTCTCAAAGGGGTCGCAACCCACAGGTTGAGAACCGCTGCATTAGAGTCACAGGACAGGTAGGTGGTTTGGTTGCTTGACAATGGGACTCTGGAGCCAGGTGACATGGGTTCAAATCCCAGCTCCATTCAGAGGGATAATAATAATTGCTCCCTCAAAGGTTTCAGGAGGAATAAAGGCTTTAATGATGCTCCTGGTATGTGGACATTTCCTGTTATTATGAAGCCACTGTTCTATTGCAATCCAGAGCACCAAATGTAAAAACTGATAACCACTTTTTAAAAAATTCAACAACAGGGCCAGGCGTGGTGGCTCACACCTGTAATCCCAGCACTTTGGGAGACCGAGGTGGGTGGATTGCCTGAGCTCACAGGTTCTTAGACCAGCCTGAGCAAGAGCAAGACTTGGGAGGCTGAGGCAAAAGAATTTCTTCAGTCCAAGAGTTTGAGGTTGCTATGAGCTATGATGCCATGGCACTCTACCAAGGGCGACAAAGACTCTATCTCAGAAAAAAAAAAAATCGACAACAAAAATAACCACATTTGGCCTGGTGTGGTGGCTCACGCCTGTAATCCTAGCACTCTGGGAGGCTAATGCAGGCAGATTGCCTGAGCTCAGGAGTTTGAGACCAGCCTGAGCAAGGGCAAGACCCCATCTCTGAAAAATAAAAATAAAAATAACTCCTGAGCCCAAGAGTTTGAGGTTGCTGTTAACTATGATGCCAGAGCACTCTACCAAGGGTGACAAAGTGAGACTGTCTCAAAACAAACAAAAAACAAAAACAGCAACAAAAAAACATGTTCAGGGTGGCGCCTGTGGCTCAGTGGGTAGGGCACCGGCCCCATATGCCGAGGGTGGCAGGTTCAAACTTGGCCCTGGCCAAACTGCA